AAAAAAACAAGCAAAAAAACCCAACTAATCTGAAAGTCTAAGCCCATTATACAATACACCTGGCCTTATCACTGCACATTGATTTATAAGAGTAGTCAACACATACTCAATTAACAGTAGATTTCTTACAAACAGAAACTGCTGTTGGAAACAATGTATTTCCTACCTCTACTTAGTTACTAGTCTCTGACCTGTTATATAAAATTAAAATTTTGCTTTCAAAAAATATTTGTTCCTACATGGCTGTTAGAATTATGGTTGGTGCTGTTAATTGTCAGAAAAGCACAGGTGGGAAACCACTTGACAACACACTTCACACACCCAATGACAGACCTTTGGTAAAGCTTAACCAAAGGAGGAGAGAAAAAGAAAGCCAGCATTACATTCAAAATCTGAAATGTATTCATCACATAATATTACCCATTTTAGTACTGAGAGTGGAATATTGAATTTCAATGAACAAAACTTAAGAAATTTGCCTAGGGTTTCATTTATACAAAACAATTGAAAGTTTATTTCCGTAGTTTAGGGTCCTTCAGTCTGAAGAATATATTTTTTCCAAGTAAGAAAATATAGTTTTTGAATTAGTTTTGGGGTATTTTCCCTGCCTACCCTACCACTGCCTACTACATTGGCCAGGTGAGCTCTAGAGAGTTGCTGTAATCAATATTTTGCATTCACACAGAATCAGAGATAACTTGAAATAGTTTTCAGTTTATGTCCTTGTTCACTGCCATAGAGGTGAATGTATAAATTGTGTTTTTAAAATTACTCAATCAAGGGATAATTGTAGGTTTTACCATAGAGCCTTTTCCAAGACATTATTTGCATCCAACACACCAATACTCCAGGGAAATAAGACTGCTCATCTACATTTCCTAGCTGGAGCTACATTTACACATCTGGGGCTCAGTCTTGCCAGGCTTAACATGTGCATAATGATATTCACAGCAGTCAACCTATCTGTAGCAGTAGGTATGCCCAAAGAGTAAATTCATATAGATGATTAAGTGTTTGCACATTCAAAGGGCTTTTAAAACAAATGATATTAACTTTAAATGTTAAAAACGCAAGGGAAAGTTCAAACCTGACAAGACATACAAAGATACCAGAGAACAGCCTGCAGCACGATCACCAGCTTAGTTTACAACTACTGCGTAATACACCTCTCGCCTCTCACCGAATCAGTGCAGCTCCTGGACTTCCAGGGGGAAACTGAGGCCAAAGCTTGGGCTGGATTCCACGACAAGAGGACAAGAGGCCCTTTGAGAAACAGCTTTCACAGCACTACTTGTTCTCCCCCACTGATTATGCAACCTCAGATCCTCCACGCTCCCACCAGAGACCTCAGATTGAAATTCCAGGCCCTTATTCACAAAAAAAAGTAAATATACACTTAACTTCAAGCACACGAATAGTCTTACTGATTTTCAAGTGGCACAAGGTACTTGCAACTTCCAACTTCAGTACAGGCTTAGGACCTTTGCTGAACCAGAAGTTCTGCAGAAGGACCACATCTGAATTTCTATACGTTAGCACTTTTATCTATTCTTTTCCCCCTCTCTTTTGTGATCTACACAAAAGTTTTGAACTAGACATATACAGAAAAAGCCTGTTTTCCTAGATTTTATTTTTTTTTCTTTAAAATCAAGCTCTAGAAATACCAGCCTAGTCTGCAGATAGCAATTGAGTAAAGTACAGCAAAGAGAAGAAATTAAGCAGTTGTGATGTGCTTCTGCAGCAATTCCTGTTCTCACATTCAGCTCACTACGGGCCCATGGCTTTAAAACCAGACTGCTTAGAAATGTTTGCAGTGGTGTTTAGTAGCACCTATTAAATAACACTCCCTAATCAACAGGTAAGGAAAAAGGACCTGCCTGTTAAAGATTCAACAGCTGTATCTTTATCTTCTGGAATAAGAAATCCCTGTATGGAGGTAGCCCTCTTCCAGACTAGATAAAAAGAATTCCAGGCTTCCCTCCCTCTCCTACTTTTACACAAAATGAAATGCCAGGAGACAGAATCAATCCCCCAACACAGCTTGCAGAGAAATTTTTTAAAGATTCCAAATATCTATGTTTTAAATACTGAACACCTGCATCCCAGGTGTCAGAGGAGCGTATGTGTTTTACAGCCCAGCAGAATGCATGCTGTAAAATGTAGAATGCTCTGCTTTGCTGTGAGGAAAGCTCCCCCCCTTCACTCTCCATCCCAGCAAGGCACTGCAAGCTCCAGGATTCTTTGCTAAGGCCCTATGCCTGTGTAGGAATTTATCCCAAAAGGCATGACTGGTACAGAGAAGCACCAAGATCAGCGTAAGACACGATTTCAGTTGGTCAAAGAAGCTTTGCTCTCCGTTCTCAAGCAGATTTGGTCCTTTTTTTATTAAGCTAAAAGTGGAAAAAAAAAAAAGAACAGAAAACAAAAGGCAGACTATGTAGGGTACCTCAAAAGGAGAGAAATGGCTGTGTCATAGTTCTGATATTTCAGACACAAGGGAAAAATATTTTCATAAGTAGTTTACTGTTTAGTACCCTGTAGATACATAATATTTGACATTTATAGCAGTTTCTATACTTTATGACCTAGAATATACTTTAGCTCACTAATGAAAAATAAACCCATTCAAAGGACTGGAAAATAATGTGCATAACAACTTACTTTCAAATGCAAGGTTATGAAGGGACTAATTTTTTTTTAACTTTCAAAAATATCTGTAAGAAAATATTATTTTACATACCTATATTACACAGTGAAATAAACTTTGTTATGTACAAGGTTTCAGTATGAAAGAAACCACAGCCAGACTTTTACTCATGGTCGAGATAATCTCAGTTGTCTTGTATCAGTCAGTACAAGAGAGAGACCCTCCTTCACTCTTTTTCAGACTATTTCAGTGATCATTTCAGCTTTTAGTGGTTACTAGTAGTTGTATAAAACCTCTGTGCAGATATCCACGTATTAACCCTATTACAGTTAGATATGGCTAGATACTATGCTCTCAAAGCAAGGCTGCACATCTGCTTGACAACCACAGTAACCCGAGTACAACTCAATTGCATATTAAAGAAAAAAAAACAAAACAACACAACTTTGTGCAGATACCTGAGCTATAGCATTCTAGGGGAGCTTGGTGTTAAACTCTCCTTTGGATTTCAGTATTTCACAACCCAAAATGAGAGCATGGGACTCATTAAGGAAACAGTATAAGGTGTATTAGCATAACCCTAGAAGTTACTTTTTCTCCTAAAGCGAGGATGAAGTAGTCTTTCACAGCTTTTTCCTAGCTTGTGTATTTTAGGCAGAAAATACACCACAATCTATTTGGATCATATTGGCAAAGTTGCTTCATATAGTCTTAGCTAATCAAAAGCTGGTATCTACCTATTCTTAAACAAGAAATTTTGCTCCTGTCTCAGGGTCAGAAAGGACGTGGAGTACTTTGCTATGTGTGGTATAACTGTAAACAACTGCAGGGAAGACGGTATTAACTGTGCTTCAAGTTTACATCATACTGTTAGTTTCTATTATTTAAATGAACTCAAGCTTATCTTCAAGCTCACCTCATCACTATTGTGCTTTAAGGGGAAAGAATTTTGCATTAGAAACTTCCTCCAAATCAGTGTTTGCTCACACACTTCAGATCCCAGGACAAAGACCTGACAGTGCTGCCTGTGTGGGAGACCAGTTCAACAGCTGAAAAAAGTTCAGGGAGTATTCCAGGCAGGTAGCACTGCGGTCACCCTCCCCTCCTGTTTAACAAAGGACTTGCACAACAACTTTGGAGGCATGTCCTCTCCTTTTCTCTAATGCTATAGCTCAGCTGCATAACATAAAAATTATCAAAAAAGGAAACATTAAATCCTTAATGAAGAGGAAACTGCTTTGCCTTAAGGAAGGAAAAAAGGAACACCCAAACTCCCTGCTTGCGATGCCTTCCAGCCTGTGCTCCCTCCCATCACTTCCCATCACAGCTGTGTTTACTTTGGTGCAGAACTTGTGACATGCTCCCAGCCAGGAGCACCCAGCCAAGAGGCCACCCTCTCGAGGGACAGCTTGCTCATGACATACTCTTGCACATGAGCAACTTGCTTCTACTGCTTTGATTTGTACCACAGCCGTAATTGGGAGCTCTGCCATTTGCCTTAGGGGAAGCCAGGCAGCCTGTAACAAGCACTGCCATAGCTCAGTATCTGCTCGTAAGAGTCCCGGCACACACCAATGTACAGACTCCCTCATCCGAGCTGCAAACTTCCTCCTCCCCTGGGACTGCTCAGCAGTAAATACATCTGTCCTGAAAGCCACACACTGACAGCAAAGGAGAAGCTTCCCCAGCCCATCTGCAAGTTCCTGTCAACTGAGAAGGCACCAGGCACATCAAACCCATTTCATTAAAATGAGGGGAGATTTCTCCCTTATACCTTCAGGGGTGCTGGCTACCAATCCATGAAGTCTTGCCACCAGGCAAGCAAGCAGCTTGTTGCAATACCAACAGGAGCCACAACGGAAGAGAAACAGGGGAAAAGAAAGGAAAACAGTATCCTCACACTTCTCACCTACCAAACTAATTGTGTGCTCAGATCTACATGGCCATGTCCTGAAAGTTGGTGGCTCCTTATTAATAGTATTAAATACTCTTAACTTCTGCTAAGTAGATGTCAAAGGCATTTAGCATCTTGTAGGGTCAGGCCTACTGGAGACGGTTGAACAAAAGGCTATGCACAAAAAAGGTAGAGAGGAAGGGAGAGAGGTGGGAGTGGAGAAGGGTAGAATCGCCCTGAGTTTTATCCTTTACAAATAAGTCAGTGGTTTTATCATCAAGCACTGAAGGAGTTAAGCACTAAAGCACAGACACTTAATCAGCTTTCCCCCTTCCTTTCACATGTGATTGGAATGAAGCTGCACCGAAGGGGCCCAAAAGGCTTATAACAGCTCAATTTCGCAGCCTTCAGTTTTAATCCCCATCACCCAGGCTAAGCAGCATGGTGGCGCTGAGGCTGCTACTCCACAGCAGTCCGAGCACCTGGATGATGATGGTCTTCCTCCTCGTCCTCCTCCTCCTCTGCAGCCTGCAGATGGCTGGAGAGCTCCTGGATCACAGCAGCCCTACCAATCTGGTCATTTCTCCTCTTCTCCATAATCAGATCCTCCAGGCTCTGAAACTCCAGCGTGTGGCTGCGCTTGTCACCCAGACGGATCTGCAGTCGGTAGGGCTGCTTGCCTATGCGCAGCTCCCCGCCGATTTTAAACTCCCGCTTGCCGTACCGGCACCAGGCAGCGAAACACTCAGAGTTTCTCCAGCTCAAGTCCCGGTCCTTGCAACCCACCTGCTCCAAGGCATTGCGTACCACCACGGCCGGGCTGAGGGGTTTGTAGCGGTACAGCTGGTTGGCAATGCGGCCCCGTCTGCCCTGGCTGGCATCGGTGAGGAAGCTGTTCACCACCTCCAGCCTGTGCAGGTGCACAACTTGAAAATCCCCGACATAGACCACCCAGTGTGGATACTGGGCCTGGCACACAAACTCCACCAGGTCACCTGGTTTGCATCGATTCAGCAGGTTCTCTGGCGTGTAGGTGCTCAGATGCCCCCCACCTCCTTC